TGGAACTTGGGATTCCTCCTTTTGCTTATTACATCAGGACAGGTACCAATCCCCCAGCTGCTTTGGTTCTGTTACCAGTGAAGGGTCTTGACAAATCATCCAGGGTTCTTGACATATTGAGCAAAGATTTGGACAAAATGCACAAACAAAGCAACAAAAGAACGAACCAATGAAAGCATAGATGTATTGAAGCAAAAGTATGCTCCACAGAGCAGGAGCTGAAAAAGCAGGTGGCTAAAGAGCCCTGGTTACAAAATCTTCTGGGGATTAATTACCATTTAGAGGTTTCCTATTGGTTACACCCTGTGTAAATGAACACCTGGCCTGTGACTAGTCAGAGGCTGAAGTGAAGTTATACTGCATGCAAATGAAGACTTGGCCTGCGACCAATCACAAGCTGAAGTGAAAGCTCCCTGTCTCCAGACTCTATTCTCCTGCCCAGTTCCATTTAAGTGTCCTGAATCCAAACCATAACTGTTTCTAAATAATTTCATCTAAATTATGAGAGTTTCCTTTATGTAACTTGTGTGCCACCTTGCAAAATATAGTGCCCAGCATGAAACAGCATGCCACCAACCTTTGGTCTTCCCCCAGCCATATCATCTTCAACTGATAGTAAATTGAATTGATGCTTATCATGCTCAGCATAATATTGTTTCCCATTAACTTGTCCATCTTCTGACAGTTTTCAAGATAATACCTTACTTTTTGAAAAAAGAATACAAAACACATCTTTTAGGATACTTTTTAAAGAGCTGGAGTCTCCCTGTTTCCCAGGCTTGTCTCTAACTCCTGGGCTCAAGGGGCCCTCCCAACTTGGGGGATATTTCTACCTTCTACTCTCAACAAGGCAGCTTTTGTAGTTAGGATTGGTTTTTAGTCCCTCGACTCCTAAGGTCCTTCCTTCCCTTTAATGTCATTCTCCTTCAAGGATAGGGAGAAGCTATAGGAGAGCCTGTATATAAATGCTGCTAGGCTCTCCTCAGCAATACAAATTCACTTCTTATGTAGGTTCTAAGCTGATTAATTAGATTGTAAAACATGTCTTTGCAATTATGAAGGCCTCGAGTCACTCAAATTCTGTTTGTAAATGGCAGTAAGAACATTCAAAACAAAAAGGCACACATTTAATAAAAGTAAAACAAATATGATTTGTAAGAATCTTACACCTACTTAATTTTGTTCTAGCATTCAGCTCACAGGATGAAACATCTACCTCTTGAAGCTCTTCCCTCTGAAATGGTTGTCAGACCTCTCTGGCAGCTGCAGATTGTGTTTATCACTTCTTTAATTTTATCCTGAGTGAAAACTATGGAGTTTCTTTAGTGACTCTTTTCTTCATTCAATCTTTTACATTGTGCTTAAGAGTGCTATAAAAGTATGATTCAATTATGATAGTAATTCTTGTTTAGGAACACACGTTTGTGCCACATTTTATTGCCAGCCACTAATGTTAAATCTTTCTAAAGCACTGCTCTACCAAGTCTTGAAATCATTTGCTTATTCTAAGTACCTTATTGCTGATTTCAAAATAAAAAGAACTGCGTAAATTGCTTACAGAAACATAATCTGAGGTTATTTGTTCGAATGATAATTATTAGAACTGATTTCACGTGAATTTTCTTCTGACCCTCAAGGACATATCAGTCTCTTTTCCAAATAAATAAATCTGTCATTGTGTTTTTATTCAGATTGTTTCCTTAATTGAAAGTATTTAATCTGTAAAATGAAGCAGCTTGCTTTTGACTACTTCTTGGAAATGATGGAAGATTGAATTTTAGGAAAGTTGCCAAACTGGTTCCGAATTACTTATACATCAGGGCAGATTGCTTGTTGGTTTGCTCTGGCGCCAGACCTCTTGGGTTGAAATCCCAGCTCCAATGTTTAGATGACCTTGACTTTATCATTATGTAACCTCTCTGAGCCTCCATTTTCTCATCTGCAAAGTGGTGATGATAACAGAGCCTGGATGCTTAACCTGAATGTAATCAAGTCTTTAGACCCAACTTACTGTTTGTATAAAACACAAGGGATAAAGTAACAAGTTAAAGGATACCGCAAAACAACAATCAGGCAAATCCAGATTGTGTGATCTCCATAGGTCAGTTGCCCTGGTGTCTTCAAAAAGACAATAACAGTCAATATCATTTTAAAAATGGAGAATGTTCTGAGATAAAAGAACTAAAGAGAGATGATAGCCAAATGCAATGCACAAAATTTGACTGGATCTTGCTTTGAAACAACCAGCTATAAAAGATATTTTGGGTACAATATGGACAGTTTGATAAGCTTTAAATTAGATAATATTAGAGAAATAATGTGAATTTTTCTTAAATATGTTTATGGTATTGTGCTTTTGGAAGAGGATTTCCTTCTTATTGGGAGATGCATGCTGAGGTATTTAGTGATGAACTTTTGTGTTACCTGCAACTTACTTTTGAATGTTCTGCAAAAATAAACATCTCTGTGTTTGTTTAAACCAAAAAAAAAAAAAAAAAGAGCCTATAGTATTTGATGTGTTAAGGATTAATTAAGTTACTAAGTGTATAATTAAAATCTGGTTTGCAATTCAGTTTTTGCCTAAGCTGTGTTTTTATCCATTCAAAATAAATGTGCGATTATTTTTCTTTAACTTTTTTCCAAAGGGGAAAAATTAGTCTAAACATTTTTTACTTCCTAGAATGCCAAAAAAACAGAGAAACTGGATTATCCAAGTAGGCGTGCAAAAAAGATTCATGTAGATTAATGTTTGGGTATTCCAAAGTAATGTGAACAATATAAAAGAGCCACATTTTATTGTATTTATTTAAGGTTAGCATCATATAATTACTTAATTCACATATATTTATTGGTATTTTGGGATAAATTGAAATAGAGTAAGAGGAAGTGGTGATCTGAGAGACTGCAAAGAGAGAGGGTAAAGTCTCACCTGCAGATAAAGGAAAATTTACTATGGATCAGATACTTGATAAGTCTCATTTATTCTACTTAGTGCAGTTTGATTCCAAATTTGTAAGACTCTGTTATTTTTTAGGAGTACAACTGTGATTGGCAAGTGTATGGGAGAAAGAGATGTAAAACATTTTTTAAATGATGTAAACCAAAATGTGAATCCTGCTTATATCTTTATGCTGGAACTCCAAGTGATTTATTTTCATTTTTGCTCTTTTTACATGAGTAAAATTTTATATAATTAAGTTTTTTCAATCCTAAAAGGGACAGTTATATAGAAATTTAATAATGTACAATTTTAGCAGCAAATTTATTGTGTAAAAAGTCTTCATACATCTATATTTAATAGTTTTTACCTGTGAATATATTTCGATATCAGTGAAGCAAATGAGTCCTTTGACAATTTCAGCTTTTGGATATTATCCTGAGATGAATGCTGTATCCAGACTCTACTTTTTCTACTTTGTGCTTATTTTAGTATTGAATCTTGCATATTTTCATCTGGATTTTTAGGTGAAATTCATTGCAAACCTGTACAGACTTTAATCATATAATATTTCTTATAACATGTCCAGTTCCTCTTAGAATTACCGAATGTTAGAGTAACAATATACCTCAGCGATCTCCTTCAGGAGTCATTATTATGACCACAGGGTACTTTAAAAGGCTGTATGACTAAGTGAAGTAAAATATATGACTATAAAACAAGAAGCTTTAGTGCTCATAGTATTAGTTTGGACCAGATTTGCTGTTTTATGTAGATTCCATGCCGCCATAGGACATCTGAGTTCAGAATTACAGATGTAGTCCAATTCCCTCTATTTGTCCGTTTGTGCAGTGAGCTAACTCCTCTCCCCGGCTCTTCTTTTTGCAATTTGCATTCCAAGGGTTCCCTCTCTTGATGCCAGATAATTGAATAATATGAAATGGCAGGCATTTCAGATATTATCAGTGACCTTTAATACCTGCAAATAAATATGATTGTGAGAAAAGCACTTGGTAAATGGAGTCAGTAGCATTGCAGTTGAGGATGGTCTTTGTATCAAAGTAAGGGATACATAATCAGTCATTCTGAAGCAGAGATCTGATTATGATATATACAATTAATTATAATCACTAATATGTATTATAATATAAATTATTATATAATATATAAACACTAATATGAGTGTTTATATGCCAGGGACTTAATTAGACATGTTATAAATGTTATCTCACTTAATGCACAGACAGCCTATAAGGTAGGTTTGTATTATCCCATTTTACAAGTGAGGAAACAGAGGCTTAAGGAGTAACTTGCCCAGGTTTCATAAGTAGTAATTGGGTCAAGTTTCCTTTCTATCTTTTAAATAATTCCCCCTACATACATTAAAGTCTTGAACTACTAGACTACTTTTCATTTGGGATTAAGGTCCAGGTTTAGAAGTAACCTAATGCAGTTTTCTCACTAGCCTGAGGTCTCTCCTAGGAACAATATGTAATTTTGATCTTTAGTCAACATCTGTGTACTAAACTTTGGGAGTGGAGAGGGAGCTGAGGAGGAATGTCTGGTGGCAAGAAACTCCAAACAGAACCATTAGAAAACAAGGTGTTTCTGGAGTGTTTGAGCACTGAAAGACTACAACAGCCTAAACTCGTACATACTATTAATGATGATAGGGATCATGTGATGAGAATCTTGTAGTTGAATATGGAGAATGATGATATTTAACATTTTAACAGTAAATTATTTGTTATAATTAGTAAAGGGGAAAACCCTTATTATTTTTTTCCTCTAAAGTGTGATAGCTGAAAGTATTAATAACTCCAAGTTGTAAAAAACACTCTTGGATTGTGACTGAGCGTTTTAGGGACGTTGCAGAATGAGCACAATAGTGTATTTATAATTTCTTGTCACATGGAAAATATAGACTGTAGGCCCTTTGATTCAACAAATTTGGTTTTGGGTTTTTGTTCATTATGTTCATTGAACCCAGACATTTATTCATCTGGTATTTTCCATCTTTTATTCATACTGATTTTCTATTTATTTTGTATTGTATTTTCAGAAGGAGTTTTGGAGCACCTACACAAAAGCGCAACAAGGGGAGAGTAACCGAGGAAGTGACTGGTTTCAATTTTACCTTACCTTTCCATTAATCTTTGGCCTCTTCATTATCCTCCTTGTCATTTTCCTAATCTGGAGATGCTTCCTAAGAAACAAAACTCGTAGACAGACAGTGACTGAAGGCCACATTCCTTTCCCTCAGCACCTTAATATTATCACCCCACGCCCCCCACCAGATGAAGTGTTTGATAGCAGTGGATTGTCTCCAGGCTTTCTGGGATACGTAGTTGGGCGCTCAGATTCCGTCTCTACTCGCCTGTCCAATTGTGATCCCCCACCAACCTATGAGGAAGCCACTGGCCAGGTGAACCTGCGGAGGAGTGAAACAGAACCTCATTTAGACCCACCCCCGGAGTATGAGGACATAGTCAACTCCAACTCAGCCAGTGCCATTCCTATGGTGCCTGTGGTCACCACCATCAAATGAAGCTACAAACCTCTTTTTACTCTAATCATTTTTAAAATACTAATGAAAGAAATTTCTAGCACTTTACCACTACATAAATGTTCATTGACATATTTTATTGGACTCTTACAGCATACCACTTCACACTTTCTGGTTTTATTTTCTTTAGTTTTGCTTCTTGTTATAGAATCATTATCCATACTCATTTTTACTAGGGGAAGTATATGAATAGGGAAAACATACTAATGGGGTCTTTCTGTGATGTGATGAGACATACATGTAAGTGTATATGTTTATAAACATATACATGTGTATGCATCAACACAGTATATGTAAAGCTGTCTTAAAAATCCATTAACTTCTACCTAACTCATCTGGAAAGAGAGCATTACTCACCAAAATTGCAAAACAAGGTACCAAGAATTTGTGTAATAGCCAGTGACGTGCTGCAGATTTTTGCAAACAGGATGTACTTGGAATGTTTTCCAATTGTTACTGGCTTTTGTTAATTTGATATTTCTCCATCTACCTTAAAAAGAAAAAAATTACACATAGTCATTCTTGATGTTATAAATATCTCAGAAAGAGAAAGAGTGTGTGTGAGCAATAATGCATAAGCTAGTAATAACTTGCTTACAGCAGATAGCAATAAGGTCATTGGTGCCATTTGGCTTGTTTTGTAATAGGGATTTATTTTTTGGTTGACCACTCCCCTCACTTCAAAAACTAAACAGCATTTTCTTAGCATCTTGAATATCTCCTGCAGTGTATATTAACATTTTGATGAGACAGATTTCCTGGCAATGAAATAACTTCTAAAATGGTTATATGTGTGGATTAATGACAGGGAATAGATACCCATTACTCCTTTACTCATGGGTGGTAATAATCTTCTCACTGTTTTATTACCTTTTACTGTACATTCTACATTCTCTCCTGCCACAGAATTTTCAAGCCCTTATGAGTTTAGTTAAAATTTTTGAAATTATTTTCTTAATGTTTTTGTATAGGCTGATGTCTTTGCCTCAAGATTGTTAGGAGGTAATTTTCCATTAGATTATGACTGTGATTTTTATATTGCCCTCCAATTGGTAGAAGATTATAAAGTCCGTGTTATGCTAGGTGCACACTAAATCTAGTAATAGCCCCACACAGATCTCATCATTGTTGCTACTTCCTTTTGTATTTTCATCGGGTATTTTTTTAACTGCAGGGTTTTTACTCTTTTCTTGGAGCAGAGGGAACAGGCTGTAAATGGATTGCCAACATAAGCTGGCTCAGAAATAAAAGAAAACAAGAGAGTTGTTTCATAAAGTTTCATTTTGTATGCACTGATGGCAAATTCATTAGGTCAGTTCAAGGAAACATTTGTACCACTTCCAAACCTTCTCAGGGTTGGATAAAATGATTGATGAGGCAGGCAGAAGGAATGCAGGTTTCAGGTGTGTCATTTCCTGCTGCTTCTAGCTCCATCCCTATGGACCCCTCCCCCAATCCTGCCCTGGAACCTAAGGAAGGAGGAACACTGAGGGGAATCTTGAAGTGGGAGTTAGATGACCTGAATTCAGATCTCCCTCAATCACATACTTGCCATCAACTGTACCTTGAACAAGAACCATATCTGACCCTTAACCTCCTCAACTCTAAAATGGCGATAATATCATTTGTCCTGCACTTCTCTAAGGGCTTTACAAGGATCAAATGAGATGGTGTGTACCTAAGAAATTTGTAAAATGTGAAGAGCTATCTACACCAGGTTCGTAATGTTGTCATTGTGCTTCAAGGAAAAATTTTCCCTCTGTTTTCCTAAATTGTATGAGAGCTTTCACACAGTGAGAAACAGAGCAGGCTGCCCCATAAATGGGTAACATATTCTTAATCTGAGTGTGTGGGCTGTTAGAGAACCCCTGCCATGCTCTGGTCTATACTGAAACTGTGCCAACTGAAAGATGATAGCCCACACAGCACAAACAGGTTTAAGCAAATGTTGGAAAGGGAACTAAGACATTTGTGCTTAGGTAATAGGCTTAGTAGCTTTCATGGACTAAAAATGATTGATTATATCTTCACCCTGGTCTCAGAAATGACATTTTTAGTTTTGCCATGAGTACACATGAATATTTGGCTTCTATTTAAAGCTAAAGTAGGAAGTGTTTGATCAAGTTAATTGTGTATGTATATGTGGGTTTTTTGTTTATTTTTAAATGAAAATTAAGACACCTTTTGTGTGGACATTTTTTGTCATTAATGTCAGGCTTTAGATTAGACCAGCAGTTTTCAAAGTATGGCCCATGGGCCCATGGACCCCTGGGTTCCTTGAGAGCCTTTCAGGGGGACTGCGAGATCAAAAATATTTTTATAATAATTTTGAAGACATTGTCTGTTCATTCTATCTCAAAAAGAGTATTGCAAATCTAAAACAATGCCATCTTCTCACAAATCTCTTTCTCTTTTTGAAACTATGGCTATTTTTCATAAAATGTTATTTGTGTTAGCATGTAATGGGTTTATTATGTTTAAATAAGTTAATACTTTAAAAATTTTCAGGATTTTTTTTAGTATGTTAAATGTTGATAGATATAAACCTTATAAACAAAAGCACTTTGGCATCCAGATCCTCAATAAATCTTGAGAGTATAAAGGGGTCCAGAGACCAAAAGTTTTAGAAGTGCAAGATTAGACATAGGAGCAGGATATTCTGTTACTAAGTATGATTTCTAGCAACCTTATTTTATATTTTAAACTCCTGATACTGGATTTAATGCTGCCTTTTAGAGACACCTGAATTGCAGTATCAGAATAAATGATGTTTGAAGCTAAAAAGCCAAATGCTTAAACTGACCAATGACTATAGCATTTTAGACTGTTGGTTAAAGAACATACTACTTCACAGTAATAGCTCTATCAGCCACAGATCTCATGGTGGCTTTTGCATGATAATGATAGGATAAGCAAAATACCACTGTCTTCAAGAAACATTAACTTGGGTTTGTTTTGTTTGAGTTTGATTTGGCTTTTATATTTTTTAAAATACCTTTTGCTACCCTATCTGGTTTTATAAACTGAGTTTCTTAGCATTCATTAAAATTAAGGGTTTTGTTTGAAATAACATATATTTTTTATGCTTTTGCCTTTCTTACCTGATTGATACTACATTCACCTTTGATTGTTTTTTAAAAAGTTTATTTTTACAGAATATATTTAGTACCTTTCTTAAGGAGTAACTGAATTGAATCAACCAATTTGCATTTAAATAAAAGAACAGGCTCAATGATCTTCCTGTGGAATGGTTTACATGCCTCCATGTGCAGTAGTTGTGTCTGGAATCCTAGAACTGGCACTTTCTGCCTCCCTGCTCTAAATGTCACAATAAATTATACTTCTTTAAAGTAAATATAATGATTTCTTCTTTTCTATTGACCAGTACAGATAAAGATGTTGTCTTTGTTTCATTACTAACGATGACTTCAAGATTGATGATCTGATCCAGTAACTGTGGAGGTAGCTTTAACTTGGTTCTGTGTAAATAGTATGCATTTTATTATAATATTTCACATTTTAAGATGCTTGGTTTACATTAAATTATGGTATTTAACTATTTTTATGTTTATACTAGGTAGGGTCTTTCTTATGTTTCTCTGTTTTTGGTATGTTAAATAAAGCTATTTTTAAACCCAAGAGATTTTTTTCTGCCATATGTTAATCATACTATGGTTAGGTGGTAAATATGCTGCATATGTTCTTATTAATTATGTTCTTTTTAATAAGGTAAAATGGTTATGCTTCTTTTTTTCTTGTGAATTTAGGGAATATAGCTCAGTAAAAACAACAGAAATCATCTGATCAAAACCTGAGAGTGTTCTCAGCATGAGAAAGAACTTTCTATACCACTTTTGAATGACTTTGGCATGACACAAAATGGAAACAATTGCTCCAAAGGAATAGACTGAGTTCCCTGCATAGTGTAGTTTGTCAAGTCCTGGGAGTGGAGTTGCCTATAGACACCAAGGAGCTGGTTGTTTCTTAGCAGAACAGCTTGCATTTGAAAAGAAAGCACAAGATGAAAACATTGTGACTAAAGGGCATTTTCTTATGTGTAGAGCTCCCTCAAATTTGTCATGTCACTAACCAAGTACATGTGAATATGAGTTGATATGGTAAAAAGCAAATCACACTGCTATGTGTGTACATATGCAACAATCTTGCATGTTCTTCACATGTACCCCAAAACCTAAAATGCAATAAAAAATAATTAAATTATTTGTTCCATATTCAAGGATGAATTTTAAATATAAATTATAAGTCTAAGTATCCATTTTGTAAGCATAAATCCCCAAAGAGTTGTCCAAATAGTCTTTAAAAGGTACTTTTAAAAATCTGTAGTAATTTCTAAAGGTTATATAACTTACATATTGATAACTACAATCATAAAGCCCAAAACCTAGATCAAGAAATTCCTAGCACTCCAGAAGGCTTCCTCATTCCCCTTCCTTAAAGATACCATGATTCTAACATCTGTCATAATAGATAACTTTTTAAAAGTTCATACGTGGCTGTGGCCATATGGATGTGCCTTTTTTTTTTTTCCTTTTACGCTTTTAACATATTTCAGAAAAGTTTAAGCTAGAAGATCCAAAGCTGCTCTTTCACACTCTAAGCCCTCCTTAAATTCAATTACTTGTTTTCTCTGAGACTTTTCTACATTCCTAAAGCTCTTTGAGAGCAAGACTTGTGTTTAATCATTTTAACTCCCTTCCCTAAATACATCAAAAAGTGAGGGCTGTTTTTGGTCTTTTTTTTTTTTTTTTTTTTTTTTTGGCTATGAATTGACCAAAACACCATTAGCTTTCTGGCCCCAGTGCTTGTCTTTCTGCTGTAATTCTTATCACTTGCCATTTCTTTAAACTTTGTATCTTTATATTCTGTTCTCAGTAATTTTATTTACTTTATCTACTTTTTTTTTTTTTTAGGCTCCCTAAGCCCTAATAACAACAGCACAAAGCACAAAACGTTATCATTTTTTGTTTGTTTGTTTGTTTTTTGTTTTTGAGATGGAGTTTCACTCTTGTTGCCCAGGCTGGAGTACAATGGCATGATCCCGGCTCACTGCAACCTTTGCCTCCTGGGTTCAAGCAATTCTACTGCCTCAGCCTCCCGAGTAGCTGGGATTATAGGTGCCCACCATCACGCCTGGTTATTTTTTTGTATTTTTTTAGTAGAGAAAGGATTTCACCTTGTTAGTCAGGCTGGTCTCGAACTCCTAACCTCAGGTGATCCACCCACTTCGGCCTCCCAAAGTGCTGGGATTACAGGTGTGAGCCACAGCGCTCGGCTTTCTTTTTTTTCTTATTGTATTTTAAGTTCTGACATACATGTGCAGATCTTGTAGGATTGTTGCATGGGTACACACATGCCATGGTGGTTTGCTGTCTCCATCCCCCCGTCACCCACATCAGGCATTTCTCCCCAGTGTTATCCCTCCCCAATCTCCCCACACCCTGCTGTCCCTCTTCTAGTCCCCATCCCCCAAAAGATCACAGTGTGTGATGTTCCCCTCCCTGTGCCCACGTGTTCTCATTGTTCAACAGCCGCCTATGAGTGAGAACATGCAGTGTTTGGTTTTCTGTTCTTTTGTCAGTTTGCTGAGAAAGATGGTTTCCAGATTAATCCATATCCCTACAAAGGACATGAACTCCATTTTTTATGGCTGCATAATATTCCATAGTGTATATGTGCCATATTTTCTTTGTCCAGTCTATCTTTGATGGGCATTTGGGTTGGTTCCACGTCTTTGCTATTGTAAACAGTGTTGCAGTGAACATACGTGTGCATGTATCTTTATAATAGAATTTTATAATCCTTTGGGTATATACCCAGTAATGGGATTCCTGGATCAAATGGTTCCTTGAGGAATTACCACACTGTCTTCCACAATGGTTGAACTAATTTACACTCCCACCAACAGTGTAAAAGTGTTCCTTTTTCTCCACATCCTCTCCAGCATCTGTTGTCTCCAGATTTTTTAATGATCGTCATTCTAACAGGCGTGAGATGGTATCTCAATGTGGTTTTGATTTGCGTTTCTCTAATGACCGGTGATGATAAGCATTGTTTCATGTTTGTTGGCCTCATAAATGTCTTCTTTGGAAAAGTGTTCTGTTCATATCCTTCATCCACTTTTGAATGGGTTCATTTGTTTTTTTTCTTGGCTTATGGTTAGGAAGAATCAATATTGTGAAAATGGCCATACTGCCCAAAGTAATTTATAGATTCAATGCTATTCACATCAAGCTACCATTGATCTTCTTCACAGAACTGGAAAAACCCACCTTAAACTTCATATGGAAACAAAAGAGAGCCCGCATAGCCAAGACAATCCTAAGCAAAAAGAACAAAGCTGGAGGCATCATGCTACCTGACTTCAAACTGTACTACAAGGCTACAGTAATCAAAACAGCATTGTACTGGTACCAAAACAGAGATATAGACCAGTGGAACAGAACAGAGGCCTCAGAAGCAATGCCACACATCTACAACTATCTGATCTTTGACAAACCTGACAAAAGCAAGCAATGGGGAAAGGAGTCCCTGTTTAATAAATGGTGTTGGGAAAACTGGCTAGCCATGTGCAGAAAGCAGAAACTGGACCCCTTCCTGATGCCTTACACTAAAATTAACTCCAGATGGATTAAAGATTTAAACATAAGACCTAATATCATAAAAATCCTAGAAGAAAACCTAGGCAATACCATTCAGGACATAGGCATAGGTAAGGACTTCATGACTAAAACACCGAAAGCAATGGCAACTAAAGCCAAAATAGACAAAAGGGATCTAATTAAACTTAAGAGTTTCTGCACAGCCAAATAAATAATCATTAGAGTAAACCGGCAACCAACAGAATGGGAAAAAAATTTTGCAATCTACCCATCTGACAAAGGGCTAATATTCAGAATCTACAAAGAACTGAAACAGATTTACAAGGAAAAACTTTATCTACTTCTATGTTAACTTGTAACTTTCAAAACTCTTTGTAATTTGGTCCCGTGAGTTTATCTAATCTTATTCCTTTCTATAGTACAGATGATAAATAGTTATAAAATGGCAACTTTGTGTGAAACACTTAGGAGATTAGAAATTAATAGTGTCTGTATTAGCCTTTGTCCCTGGAAATTTTTCAGTCAAACTGAAATTGGTATCCTTCTAATCTTCTAACCAGGTCTCTAACCTTAAGTTCCCAGAGATTCTTCTTGCCTAAAGTCTCATGGTGCTTACGTCTTTATTTGTCTATGCTGTGATTTTTACAGGTTTTTAGCAATGAGACCTAATTTTGAAACTATTTTCATGGAACTCTAATATATTACACAGATGGGAATGTTGTTGACTACAGAAGTGTGATGCTTGAATCCCACCATCTGTGACCTTTCTCATCAATCCAAGTCATCTCTGCAAACCTTAAAATTGGATGAACATAATTGAAAAGCCACTGTAATATAACATCTCCTATTGGTATCCAATTTCATAGTTCCTCATCTTAACACTTCAAAAAAGTCTTCAGAATCTCCTCCACTAATATACTGATTGGGGTTCAAAACACTCTTTTTAATCCAGTTGTTCCTAACTCACAAACACAGAACACTGGCTACCAACACACACTATAATAATTATGTGTATAAAGCATTCTGTTAAGTCCATGGATGGAAGCAAAATAAGAGAGAACCATGAATGTTAATGGTTATGATTCTTTGTTTATATCATTTCTATCATCACCAAGTTCACCCCTTATCAGCTTGTCACTCATAAACATCTCCTTAAACCATATTTAATCTCTATACAATAACAAGGTTATAATTCCATCAAACATCCACCTCTACTGGTACAACCAAAACCTTTCCCCAAAAGAGGAGGCAAAGTCCTTGAATGATGTTTATTCTTCTCCCTGATATCCTATAATTTAAATACTAAGATATAAAATTATCAATACTTAAATACTATGATAAAAGTGAATACATCTTATGTTACAAGATAAGGAAATAAGAGAGGAAATAAAACAAAGATATTTACTTAATACAAACACACACAAATGTATTTGTAACAAACTAAGGAGGAAATACTCATGAAAATTGGAATCATCATTCCTGTAACTGGTCACATGGTCATGCATGATATTTATAATCACCTTCTTCCACCACCCATTCTGTTTTCCCTTTGCCTTCAACAAGCACCTCTGCTGGTTGCTACACTTTACCTGCTAAGGTAAACCAAATCTTCATTCCTGAAGTGTCTGGCCATTAGGAATCCTGCTTAAATGGGGCTGTTGTACTTTTTCATCTCCTGTATTCCAGACATACTCTTCCTTACTTCCATTGTGGGGTAGTAGTCCAATTTGCCCCTGGTAGTCAGGATCAATCACCTCAGCACAGTAACTCCCTTCTTTGCCTGTAGATTCAGAGGAAATGAGTAGTGCAAAGTGGCCAGGTGGCAGTCTTAATTTCCAGTGCAATGAAATTATTGTTGTGTCTCCAGATGGAAGCATTTCTCCCTCTGGAACTAAGACCTCTAGGCCAGCAGAGGTTAAGCTGGTGGAAACGGGGAAACAAAAATGTTGCTAGTGGGTCACTATTGGCAATAGTGAGTAGTGCCACTCCCATTTCCATGACTTGATTCTTGGAGACATGAA